ATGCAAGCAAGATTCTGCTGAAGATTATCCAAAAACAACTGGACCAGTACGTCAATGAGAACTACCAGAAGTGCAGGCTGGGTTTAGAAGAAGCCATAGTACTAGGGATTTTATAGCTAATGTTAGATGGATCTTGGCTGAAAGTAGAGAGTACCAGAGGAACGTCTGTCTGTGTTTCTTTGACTATGCAAAGGCATTTGACTCTGTGGATCACAACTGTGACTAACTCTAAGAATAATGGTAATTTCAGAACACTTGATCATGCTTATGCGAAACCGATAGTTGGACCAGAAGGCAGTCATTAGAACAGAGCAAGGAAATACTGCATGGTTCAAAATTGTGAAGGGTGTATGCCAGGGTCCAATCTTCATACCTTTTCAATCTATATGTTATTGTTGTTGTGTGTCGTCGAGTCGTAGATGACTCATAGTGACCCTGTGAATGAAAGTCCTTAGCACTGTCTGGAGGCAAGCCATTTTGAAAGTGGATGCCGCTCCTGCTTCTAGGCTTGTTTTAATTGGGAAGCTCCAGCAAACACTGTTCACCATCGGTGACCATTACCACATTTGGCACATCAGTGTCACAGTGTTCAGCGCCTCAGCAACCACGAGTTACCTCTGTACAGCAATGCACAGACCAGTGCTATACCACCTAAAAGAATGTTTGACAGAATCTATATGCGGAACAGATTATCCGGGAGGCTGGGCTCTATGAGGAGAAATGTGGCATCAGGATTGGAGGTAAGCTCATCAACAACTTGTGTTATGCAAATGACACAAATCTACTTGCTGAAAATGCAAAGAACTTGAAGTGTTACTGCACAAGGTCAAGGACTGCAGCCTTCAATATAGATTGAAGCTCAACATCAAGAAAACAGAGATTCTCACCACTGGGCCAATTGGCAGCATCATGAGAGATGGTGAAGAGATTGAGATTGTTAACAGCTTTAGTTTGCTTGGCTCTATAATCAACACTCTTGGTACCAGCAGTCAGGAAATTAAAAGACAAGTGGCATTGGGAATGTCTGCTCTCAGGGACCTCTCCAAAGTACTCAAGAGCAACAATGTCAGTCTGGATACTAAGATGTGCCTGATTCAGGCCATGGTCTTTGTAATTACTTGTGATGTATCAGAAAGCTGGACAATGACTAAGGGTGATAGAAGGAGAATTGATGCCTTTGAGCTGTGATGCAGGAGAAGAGTGTTGAATACATCGTGGACTGCTAGGAGAACAAATAGGTTCATCCTAGAAAGGGTAAAAGCTAGCTGCTCCTTGGAGGCAAGGATTCTGAAGCTTCGTTTGACATACTTTGGACATGTTGCAAGGAGGTACCAGTTCTTGGAGAGGGACATCATGCTTGGGAGGGTGGAGGGATAGTGCGTGAGAGGGAGACCTTCTATGAGATGGATTGATTCAGTGACTGGGGTAATGGGGGTAGGGGTGCCGGAAACATTAAGATTAGCACAGGAGTCAGCAGGGTATAGTGTTTTTGTACATATGGTCACTATGAGTTGCAAGTGACTTGACAGCACATGACAATTGTCTCTTCTCCAGCTGCCTATTATCATTTATATATATCTATACAAGGTAGTGAAGTTGAAGTTTGGAGAATCCAAGTGGTGAAGTTAGATGAGTCTGAAGCCACAGTGGAAAACTGATTATACAACATGAACAAATCTCACACCCTTGCTGTTTCTGTAGTTGTGATTGCTTGTCCATGCAGGAATTCCCACCCAAACTTACACTACATTGAGTTGCTGGGAGGACACACAGGCTGTGCTGTGTCACCAGCCCTTTACAGGCCTTCCTCCTGGGTACTTATTTGTTGTCATGGAGATGCTTTGCTCTTGTCCATGCATGTGGCCTCTCCAGGGTTGTCCATGCATGTGGCCTCTCCAGGGCTGGCCCGTCTCTGTTATTTCCATGCTGTGCTGTGTGGTACAGGAACACATTCCTTGGCTCATTAAGCAAGAACTTGTTCAACACCTGCCAGATGTCAGGCAAGTCATTCTATCCAGTTCTTAAAGCTCTGGTGGGGCAGTCACTGCACCACCTGTGTAAACATGCTAGAAAAATAATTTCTTCAAGGCCCACTCACCCTTGAGGCTCTAGGCAGCAAGCAGTCGAAGAGGCCCCTCTCTTTGCCCTTAGACACCTTAACCTATCAGAGATTTTTCATCTCCTGTCAGATTAACTTGGAAGTTAGAACTCAGTCAGTCCTTCAGGGGCAGCCAGCACCAGTATTCCCCTGCGGCCCCTCCACCAAGGAAAAGAGGGTGGTCTTCTGACTTGTACTTAGTCTGTGTATCAGTCAGAGGGAGCTGTGTCGCCTGAACAAGATATTTTTTTCAAAGCATTTGTGTAGACCGTTAGACCAGGATTTAGGAAACTAGGACCCATGAGACAACTTTGATTTATTACTTGGTATTTTACATAAAGTTTATTTAAAGAGAGCCCCTCATATCTGTATTGTCTTTGTCTACTTTAATGCTTACCACAGCAGAGCTAAGAGGTTACACCACAAGCCATATGGGTACAAAATCCAGCATATTTTCTATTTGACCCTTGTAGAAAATCTTTACTGACCTCTGGTCTCCTGCCTGCTACTGCCGTCTCTTCCTTAAAGCATTGGCCACAGGATGGACTCAATGTCTGAACTTGAGACATGGCCAAGGAAAAAAAGGTAATTAGGAAAATGAAAATGGTTAGTGTCAGAAAGTATTTTCCTGCTGACCAATAAAACTAAAGCAGTTGCTGTTGAGAATACCCCAGCTTGTGCCAAACTAGAACCATACTAATAGGGAGAGCAGCTTATCTTTCAGAAGAAGACCACTCTACCTCCCAACTCAAAATATTTTTACTGGACTCAAGACCCCAGTGTTTGCGTCAGAGCCAAATATTCTAACTGCTCATACTATATATAGAGATGTCTGCCAACTTGCGTGTGTAGTTTGAGAGAGCTTACCGAATAGAACAGTGGATCTTTTCCTCTCAAATGCTATGCCTCTTAAAAAGTTTTATGGAAGACAATCAAGCAAACATCCTGCATCATTGTGACCATGTAGCCAGAAATGATCACAGAGGTGACTGAGCTTTGAGTTCTGAGAGGACACACTGGGGCCTTTAGAAAGAGCTGACAATATGTTGTCCCTCTTGTTGTCTTTTATCCGTGTGGACTCTGCCCACTAACTGCTTACAACCATCATGTAAACCCAGTGCATTTGGATACATCCCACATCATTGCCTGCATGGCATCATGTTCATCCAGGGAGAGGACAGAACTCTGATGTAACTGACATCTATTTTCTGGCTATTGAATCTAAAAATGAACTTGAGCCATGTAGGCCAAGCTTGGAAGAACATGGCTGTGACCTGGTCTCACAGGCCAAATGTTTATCATATTAAGTAAATGAAACTTTTGAGATCATAGCTAGCTTGTTTCTCTATGTGTAACTAACCACCTGACATCCCAAAGGAACTGGCATAAACCTGGTTGTCAGACATTGCTCCTCAGATCTGCATCATGTGTCTTCTTGTTCTTGTTGATTGTCATTGAGTGGAGGATGACTCATAGTGACCCTATGAACAAAAGGCCTGAAGCCTTTCTATAACTATCATCATTTATCAAAGTTCATAGAATTTCCAGGGGCATGTTATTTAGAAAGTGTCTTCTTAGTCAACCACAATTTTTAACAAAGGATTTCAAGAGACATTTTTCTAAATATTTAAAAGCTTCATCAAAGCCACTCAAATTTCCCTGCCTTTATTTGTTCCTTGTCCTTTAGAACCCCATACTGCCTCATCTTAAAAAGGCCTAGTAGTATAGTGTAAAATCTGTCAAGCTACTTACTGAATGATAAATGGTGGAGAAAAATGGTAATTCCCCTCTTAAGTGGATTGACATCCCTGGAGTATGGATGCCAGCCACTACAAGTGACTGACTCGGTGACAGTCAAGGTTGATGGCCTTGTCAGAAGTGCAGCACCCAGCCTCCTACTGGGGCCTTTTGGAAGAGCTGACAAAACTTGAGCCATTGGCCAAATAGCAAACTCTGCAGTCCACTCATAAATTTCTATACTACCATAACTTTCTTTCACCTTTTATTCCACAACTCCAAAGTTCACAAAAAAGAAGTTAATAATTTTTAATAGTTTCATTATAAAATAAATGAGAACTCTTTCTTTACTCATTCTTAGATTTAATGGCCTCTAGAATCTACTTTGTTATTTTATTTCCTATTGAGGTGACTTCAGTCTGGTGATTCATGTACTACAAGTAAATGCTGCCTGGCACTGTGCCGTAGTCATGATTGCCTGAAAGCTGCTGTGCTCAAGTCCATTTTGGTAGGCGCTGTATATTTTGGGGTATCTTCTGACATAGGAGTCTCCCTTTTGGCATCTTACTGGCCAGTCTAAAGTTGTGATCATTAGGGTTTACTGTGCCTAATACAAGTCACTCGACCTTTGTTGTGTATTTGTCTGAAAGTTCTGCTGAAACCTGTCCATCCCAGTGACTTGATAGTTGAAATCCCTACCAGCATCAGAACAACATACGATCATCCCCGTATGACCAACTGACAGATGGATGGTGATAAGTATACTAACAGTCATTTCAACATCTTCATTTCATAGAAGCCCCCTCCCCTAGCACACACAGAAGGGAACAAAATCTTCCCTGGGATGTTTTGTTTTACAAATGGCAAAATTTTAAGCTCAAATGAAAAGCATGGGTTTTGTCCTGGTAAACTGATATTCTCTGCATTCTGTTAATGAACAGAAAACCCTCATTGACTGCCATTAGTTCCATCCATCTGAGGACTCTCTTCCACGTGCAGTCATCATGGATCTGAGTGGTCTGACTTGTGGTCTGCTGTAAAAACAAAAGGATTCCTTTGGAAACCTAGCTTTAGCCCCTCTTCTTCTTGGCTGGAGAGAAACACAAAGTAACCTGCTATTTTCACATCATTTTCTGGCTAATGCAAACCCTCCTCTGCCTTCTAGCCCTGGACCTGGAGGCACACACTGCCCGGGAGCCAGCGTGGAGCACACAGCCTGCGAGAACCTGCCCTGCCCCAAGGGCTTGCCCAGCTTCCGAGACCAGCAGTGCCAGACCCATGACCGGCTGAGCACCAAGAGGAAGGGCCTGCTGACCGCAGTAGTGGTGGATGGTAAAGGCATATGGCTTCCCTCTCTTCTGCCCCAGGAACCAGGATCTTAACAACCTCCTGTAAAACTCAAAGGGTACCTCCCTCAGTCACCCAAAGGAATAGAACACCCCAGGCCTCCTGTCCAGGTGACAGCAGGCTTGAATTTAGAGGATCCAGCTTTCTAAGATTTCCCTATAAAACAGCTGCAGAGACAAGATGCCCCCTCCCCATTTCTCAGGAAGGTGGGTGTGCTGGCAGCCTACTCCCAGGTGCAGGGCTGCAGAAACCAGGACAGATGTTGAGAAGCAAAGGCAGTGGGAGAGCAGGACAGTTGGGGATACGTAGATCTGCCATTTCGCTTTCCAGTGTTGATGCTTTCTTTCCCTTGGTCTAATTTGTGTTTGCTCTCACTCTTTTACTGAATAGTTTAGGGAAATACTAAGACAATTTAAAATTGGAGAAAGATGATAAGCTCAGGTTACATTTTCTTTCTAAGAGTTGCTGCCAAAGTCGAAAAGTCAACTGCAGGCATTTACTGTGGCGGACAAGGAGCATGGTGATCAATAAGGAACACATGAGGTGTGTGATGTTTGAACATTGGAGAAAAGAACTCTTCAAGACTTAATTTAGGGTATTTTAATACCTAAATTTCTGTTCATTTCCAGGAAATGAGAGTTTGTACTATAAACAGGATAACTAGGAGTTTGCACCTGTTTACCTCACTTAATCTTGACGAGGGTTTGTGTTAGGTTTGCTCTGCCTCTAGTATATGCAAGCTTTGTAAGGCTTGGTACTCTCAGGCTTAAGGTAGGCATTGCCAGGACCACATTCATGCACCTAATAGGAACGGAAGTAAGGAGGGAGCTTAGGTACTCATGGAATTAAGTTGACTCACAGAAGCTTACCAGCTATCCTCTGATCTTCAATACTTGAGTAAGAAAATTTGACATGAAAGGTCAGGGTGAAAGAGGCTTAGTCAAAACGGAAGAGAACATGAATTTGGACCACCTCTGAGGTAGTATTTTTGAGGAGAATAGTGCTCCTGTACTAGCTCTCCTGTTTCTTCCTGCAATCAATTTTTCTTGAGGTAGCTTAGACAAAAAGCAATGGAGTCTGCATTCTGCAGCAGACCATCACCACCCACTTCTGCAAGTTTAGGACCAGGCATCACTGGCAACAGTGGTTTCACCACATTTAAGGCATTGCCTTGATCCATTGACTTTGACCTGACCTATAAAATTATATGCTACAAAGAAATGATATGCTATATGGACTGATGCCTAGGTAGGTAGATAAATAGATGGATGGGTAGCTGCTGTGAGATCTGCCCTGTCGTATGCCAAACTTAAGTTAAATAGAACAAAAAGGTCCTTGGTCTTATGTCATCCTCACAGTCACTGAGCACTTTGAGTTCATTGTTGTAGCTGTTCCCAACTGTCTCACTGAGGTTTCCTTCGCTATCACTGGCCCTCTGTTTCACCAAACGTAATACTGTCCTGCAGAAATCAGTCCATCCTAGTAATGTGTCCAAAACAGCTGAACAAGACAGCATTCTGTTGTGATCCATATGACTATCACTGGCTGATTTTGAGAAGCAGACTTCCACATCTGTGTTATTAGTCTGTCTCAATCTTGAAGCACCACTGAATCTTTCTCAACATGGGTAACTCTACCAATGTCATACCATTGGCATGGCTTCTAGCATCACAGCAAGTCATCATTACAAACTGACAGACCAGTGTAAAATATTCTACATAGAATTGTTGCAAATGTAATGTGCCGTTGAAGCACCTGGGACTCGTAGCGCCCCTATATACAACAGCTTGAAATCCTGCCCTATCCTGAACCAGTCTATCTCCCTCCATTACCCCATCACTGTGTCAATCCATCTCATCTAGGATCTTCCTCTCCTGCATTGTCCCTCTGTCCTGCCAAGCATTATGTCCTCCAAAGACTCATCCCTCTTAGACATGAACCCAAAGCATGTTAAATAGAACTTTAAAATCCTTGTCTCCAAGGATCTGCTTGGTTTTCACATTACGTGAATACAATTTAAAGCATTGCTCTACTCCTAGACATTTTCCTTTTTGTTTTCTTTTTAAAAAGGAACGCCTTTGACAGTTATGTGATGGTAACTGCATTGTGTGTAACTGTTGTTGTTGTTGTAGTAGTGTACCATTAAGTTGGAACTGACTTATAGCTGACCTTCCAGTGGCTGTTCAGAGGCAGTAAATCTCCTTGGAGGAGATTGACCATCCTTTTTTAGTAGGGCAGCTGTGGATGTGAACCATGTACCTTTTGGATTGCAGCACAACTTCTTACCACCAGGCCACCAAAGCTCCCTGTTGCATAACTGTTATTATTGTTGTTGTTATGTACTATTGAGTTGGAACTTACCCATAGCTGATTCTCTGATGGGTTTACAGAGGCAGTCAGTCACACGAGAGGAAACTGGCTATCCTTCTCCCATGGAGCATCTGGTAGATTTGAACCACGTGCCTTCAAGATTGCAGCACAGCTTCTTCCCACTAGGCCACCAGTGACTAGGCAACATGAAAGTCATCCCACTCTGCAAGGCAGCCTTCACTCCTGGCTGCCCTGTATGAAGGGAGGACGGATATGAGTGGCTGAAAGCACTTGCTCACACAAGCTTCACTCTTGCTTCCTGACTATAGTTTGATGCAGAAGGAAACAAGGGACTTCTACATATTTCAGCACCTTTAGCCCCTATCAGGAAGAAGAGTGCTGTTTTCCCAACTCAGGAACAGCCTCTGATGAAAAGAGACATTGTTCTTATGGATCGTCTTTCATATATTTTCCCCTTTTGCAGGAGCACAAAGAGGTCAGGCCTCAGACAGACTCACTGTTTTTATTTCCACTCAACTATGTGCATGAATTTGTTTTTATTCTTTCTTTGGTCACTTGCTTCAGTTCTGAATGCTTCTGCCTTATTGATTCAATGAAGAAGTTCTGTTTAAATAAATGTCTATTTTTCCAGTAATTTCTCCAAGCCCAGTTTAAACTTATGTTTTACTTTCCAACCACTTTTGGATTGCCAAGCTCATTGGTTCCCTTATCATTACAGTGGCTGAAATTGTGTTGGCCCAGACTTTCCATCCAGGAAATCCCCTTCCCATGAAGTCATGTGGGGAAGTGTTTGCATTTAGAATAGCTTTTACCCAATCTAATTTAGTTTCTTTCTGCCCAAATGAGAAATAATTACAGCCAGAGTAACACTGTCTTTGATCTGAAAACTGTAACTGCAGAAGGACAGCCTTTAAGGCTAGCACAGTCCTCTTGGTCAGTTGTACCAACTTCTTGCATATTTGGTTGCATTTACCTCTCAAATGTACACAGAAGGCAGCAATTTTTAAAGGTTCATTTCAAAGGGAAGAAAACATTCATAAATAAGTGATTCAGACGGCAAGGAGGGATACAGATTGTGACTGTTCTTCTAAAAACATCATTTCTAAATGGCACACTTAGAGCTCAGCTTGATAGGAATAATCCCTGTAGTTGGCTCTGGCTCTTCGTATACCCACCATGGCTGCCCTAATCATAACATTGCTATCACGTGGAATTCCTTGGCTACTGACACACAGTTAAAGAAAAAGGATACCATTTACACACACCTCTCCTCTTTTTTTTTCTTGTATTAAAACACAAAAAAGAGAGACAATCTTGCAGAGATAGGTTTTCCAAGGAAGAACCTAGAACTACAGTTCTATACTGCTTATAAAAATAAGACAAAATATTTCTATGTGGAAAGGTCTTTAGGCAGAAATCTGTTCAGGAGGCTGGCTTTCAACCACCCCATTTCTCCCTTCCTTGTGGCATCTCTTTAAGGGGAAACCCTGTGAGTTCACGTGTCCCTGCCCAGGCTGACAGGTCAAATTCTCAGAGATGTTAGAAGACCTGGCAAAGACCAAGATTGGATGTAATCATGGAGTTAAATTGACTCACAGAAGATTAC